ACCACCACCACCACCACGACTACTGCGACTACGACTTCTACGACGACGACGACGACTACTACTACTACGACTACGACTACTACTACTACTACTACTACTACTACTGCAACTGCTACTGTAGTGCTGCTACTACCACTACTGCCGCTGCCACTTCTACTCGTTGTCGGTTATCGTATTCGCACTCGTACCATGGCCATGTATTGGCGAGCCTTCCTCGCCGGCTTGCAGGCCAGAGCTGTGGTGCAACGACTGCACCTGGAAGAACCACATGTGGTAAGAGCAATTGACAGGGTCTGATCGCACCGAAGCAAGAGCGTTGTGGCAGCACAGTTACTGCACAGCCTACAGAGCTCGTGCCGTGGAGATGGCTCATGAATCCAACTACCAAAATCCCAGATCTGTACAAACGAGACTAGAGTTCACGTAACGGTTTCGGCTTCGGCGTGTACTCCAGCTTTGCATCCTCAACGCTTTGTCATGCCTTGTCCCACTCCAGGTGCTGTCGACCTTTGGTTAAAGAGTTTTCGCCAAGGAGACATCCCCGATGAGACGCAGAATTGGCTACGATTGAGAGCCGTAGGCACAATGTGTGGTAGATAGTGGAGAAACATCCCAAGCTTTATGAGAATCGGCTCCCAAGAAGCTCGCTCGCGGGATCAGGCCGGCCTGGCGGAAGATGAGGAGGCAAAGCATACTGTGAGATCATGTGGGAAGGTGGTCGGGTAGTGTTGGCGCAGGCGAGTGATTCTTTCGTTGAGGTATCCGTATCCGTTTCCAGTCAACCGATGCCTTTGCTTTAGCGCTCTTCATATGCCATTGACTGTGTTTGGTGGGTGCACGGAGCGAGGTGCACACGACACAGCTTCGTAGCAACTTCATTAGGATCTTGGCACACGCCTGACCTGATGGTGTCGAAATGGCTGACATCCTCACAAACGACAGGGGGTCACTATTGCATGAATGCAGCAGGGCGAGAGATCAGGGCAACAAGTAAGCTCATTGCAGGCAGTTTGTAATTGCTTGTGCTAGATGCCATGCAAAGATAGCACGGTATGTTTCGAAAACGAGAAGCCCAAAGTCACGCTGCACATCTTAACCATCCTGCGACAGGGACACAGAACCATGGCCCGACTCTTGTAGTTTCCCTGAGATTTCTGGTTTCATGGCGTTTCGGTCTCTTAGGTGTTCAAGGTTAGGGGTTGGGGTTGAATTGTGCAGGGATGAGAGCTTGTGCAGCTTGACATGTAAGATCCACAAGTGCTGTTGGGTTTAACAGGCAGTTCGGAATGGGGCTTGGTTTCTGTGGGATAGCCTCAGAGAAATTTTGGTGTGTGTTTTACATTGCCTTCGAGAAACAGTGGACAATTAGTTAATGTTACTGCCAACACGGCCGCTAACAAGGGTCGAACATTACCGCATTGCACCGACAGCCTGCCGCCATGCTTGGCTTGAGTTGTGCACAGTATACGGAGGTGCAACCTCGACGACGAGCTCCGGAAAATCAGCTCCGGTGACACTCCTGAGCTGCAGCGGTAAGCGCAGCTCGTGGCATGCATGCTGCAGGATTGGGGGTGCTTTGTCTTTCGACCTCATGCAAGAGTGGGGCATGTCCTAAGCGCAGGTTTTGCTTTCGGCGAGCTTCCGATGTGTCCAGTTTCGGGATCCTCAACCAGTGGCGGTTCGATGCGCCAGATCTCGTAGGGAATCCGCACGAGCCATGTTTGCAGTCGTCGGGTTTTCCTGCACATGCGGCATTTGATGTGGTGGGGGACTAGATGGACTGAGCTCAGGAAAACTGACCCGGAAAGCAGCATGCGCCGTAGGCCACCGGTACAGTACTTCAATCCCCCGGTTGAGGGTCTCCTGAATGGGAAAATTCGGCCAAATCCCTGCATGTCGTGTTCGGCACTTGCGAAGTGTAAGGGGTCCATGTATACATACTAAAGTTAAACTGTGTTTACATGGGAACCCCGTTAACGCCAAAGTAAATGCTTGTTTACCGGGCTGGGTGGGTGCACGGAGCGAGGTGCACACGACACAGCTTCGTAGCAACTTCATTAGGATCTTGGCACACGCCTGACCTGATGGTGTCGAGATGGCTGGTCTTCACAAACGACAGGGAGCCATTCTGCATGTTTCTCAGCAGGGCAAGGGATCAGGACAACAAGTAACCTGATTTGCTGGTGATAGATGCCACGCAAAGTTAGCACAGCATGCTTTCGAAAACGAGAAGCCGAAAGTCACGTTGCACATCCTGGTAACAACCATCCTTCGACAGGCAGCGAAACGCCTGCAGGAGGCCAGTTGCAATCTCCTGGCTCGGGATGCGGCGTTGGAGAGAACGATGCAGACTGCTCTGGATCAACAAGTTGAGCATGAGCAGAAGCTGGAGCGCAGTCGAGCAGACTGCGAGGCCTGCCAGGCACAGCTGGTGCAGCTGCAGCAACACCACAGCAGCTTGCGGCAACAGCATGAAGAGCTACAACAAAGCCACAACTGCCTGCAAATGGAACACAAGCAACTGCAGACCGACCATGCAGGCGTCGTCCAGGCACGCGAGCAGCTGACCAGCGACGTTGAAAACCTCCGGCGCGAGATGTTGCAGAAGCTGCAAGAAAGGGACGAGCACAGCTCCACAATCGTCGACCTCAGAGCGGTCGCAGAGAAAAGGCTCGAGGCCAAGCAGGGCGAGCTCGACCGGTTGGTGGCGGACTTCGAGCAGGAACGACGTGCCCTGCAAGCCGACATCTTGCAACCGAAATTCTTGATTTCAAGTTGCAAGACCCCAAGCAAATGACTAGTAGGGCAAGTGTATCAGCATCATCGCTCATCAGCAACGTACTCTTATATGGCCTGAAAAGTGAAAAGTACACGTAACCAAAACCAAGCGCATTTGACTCCCGATGGTTTGTATACTACAATTTCAACCCTGAGCCGGAGCTGAGCCCCTTCATGAAATCAGAGCTGGGATTTAGGGCGGAAGCTGCATAGGAATATAAGCCTTAGAGGCCTTAGAGGCTCAACACTCCTTGCTCCCCATAACATCCGCATGTGAAGCCCGAAGGAGCGAAGGCCGCGTGAGGACCGGGAATGTTGGATAACGGTTGTTCAGTAGGGCTTTGCTGATGATGTTTCGGAAATGCCTGAAAATGCCTGGTTTCATCGGATGTAGGGGCACCCTCGAGAGCTGTAAGCTCAAAGCCCTACAGCCTACACCCTCAATGCTGCGCATTCGCTTTGCAGAAGCTCCTGCACGAAGGAGCTTGATTTCAAACTTGAAGAGCTCGAGGCCGAAACGCAACTGGGATTTCAAGCGATCGTTTGTGAAGTGTCTCTTTTGGGGCAGCAGTAGTAGTCATCGTTCATAGTTCGAGATAGTGTCTTTCCTTGCCATGCAGCCGCAAGTTAGAGAGAACTTACGTGTTTCAAAGTCGTCCGAGCCATAGTCCCTCCAATCCATGTCGCGACATTTCGCAGAATGCCGTGCTGCTCACTGGACCTGCCGGGGGTAGAGCTTATCACGCCATGGGAGGGGGAGAACTGCAAACGCCCACAGACAGGCAAGGGCATTTATCAACCCAAAACCCCAACTCACCCACCCAACCACCAACCACAAGCCGGGCACAATGGGTACCATGCCATTGAGGCGGGGTGTGATCGGGGGGTAGACCGGGTCTATTAGGCAGCTGGAACTGCGTGTACAGAGAGCTGCCAAATGGACCCTAAGGGTGCGCGAGGGTTCTCGGCCCCCAGGGAATGAACTGCTCTAAATAGCAAGCAGGCCCAGTTTTAAGCTACTCAAGCTAAAAAGTCCCCGGCCCCAATTTTGGTAATTTAAACACTTCGCATAATCTATACAATTCAAAAGATTGAAATCCTGGTTTTAATCCCGGGGGATTGGACTGGGGTCGAGAGCCTCCCCGGACCCATCTTCCGGGATGTAAACTGAAATTTATTTCCCGGCCACAATTAAATCATCTACATCCGGAAACCTGCCCTAGATTTACATTACTTAAAATACTTAATTCCCGGCCCTACTTAAGCTGGACAGCGATCATCCCGAAAGCAAGCAGAGCAATGTTTGCGTGGCATTTGAATTTGGCAGCGTGTTTGTGCGATTAGTTCTATTTGCCTCATAGCCAAAGGTAGGGTTAGCATGGTTCAGATGGATGGCGCGTGTGTACGTGTACATATGTGTGTATTTTAAAAAGTATGTGGTGTGGCATAGGTGGTGTTCATGAGGGGACCGCTCCTTGCGATTGAAGGCCAGGTTTTCTAGAGCATCATCGCCAGAAAAGATAAAAGGATGAGGGGGGCACTTCTTGCAAGTAAGGTGTTCTAGAGCGCCCTCACCCAAAGAGACGAATTGCAAATCCTACTCTTTAATTTCAACACGCTTCGTGTCGTCCGCGGCCCGGCTGTACTTGAAGCAGGTGCATTGTTCCGGAAAGCAGCAGGTGGGTCACACGAGTGAGGTCTTGACTGAATGAGCGTATTTGCTTCAGAGAGTTTTTTAATGTAAGCATTTGCTTTCATGCTGAGGTGCTGAGCAATAATCCCACGCGAAAGTGGCACAAGTGGCACATGCGCTGCATTATCCCATCGACTGTACTACAAGATCGTATCACACTTGTCACTGGTCTCGTATGCAACGTCCTACATGTTGGATGTCGAAAAACCTCCAACAAGGACATGTACGGGGAATCAAGCTTTGCATAAAAGTACAGACACGGGTCTCTTTATGTCTTTGGAGAGCCGGGACTAGAGCGGCATGGGAATGTTCTACCTATATGAAGAACCTAGCTAGAGTCCTACCCCACTCCCTGACGGCCGAACAGTGCCAACAGCCACCCAAAACAAGCAGGGCTACACCTGCCCCCGCCCCTGCCCTTGTTTTACGTACCCCTACACCCGATACCCCTACCCGGCCCGACCCCTATGCCCAATCACGCCCAGACCCCGCTAGATTGCTAGCTGCTACATCCCACGCCTCTGAACCCCCTCAACAAAGACAACACTGACACCGACCGAGCAACCAACCACGCCCCACTCCCCAGACGGAAAATTAATCAACCCCGGAAACCGCCCACCAGCACGATTACGCTGAATTTTCCTGCAAACTTCTACCTGAAAGGGTGCTCTGTCAGAATCCTGCTTTCTTACAACAGTGGAAGACGAGAGGGCTCACAAAAAGCCTAAGCTGCAAAGCAAACGGTCACGGCGAAACTTCGGATGTCCCTCCATCCCGCAGACCTTCTAACGCGTCCTTGGTGATCCCCATGGGCGTGGGTGCAAGGATTTTCAGTTTTGGTAGGTTTGGAGCGATTTGGCCCCAAACCCTAAACAGGTTCATGGCTACAAGCTATGGGCTTGAAACCTAAAATCTAAACCGTGGCGTGGAATTCATCTGAGGAGCGATCACCTCACCCGGCTAGACTGGGCCGGGAGCTCAGGTCCTTGCATGAGGGTTTTTCAGTTCATGGTTTGGGGTTTCGGGCACAGGGCTCAAGAATAAGAATTTGCCTTTGTGGGATCTTCATAACAAGGTCTACCCTACTGTTAGCATGGAAAAGTGCGCCCAGAACTGGTCAGACAGTAAGAGGACCAGCTCACCCAAACAACCGACCTTCACATGAAGAATGCTGATGTGGAGAGCTTCTTAGCACGTCAGATGGGGGGTCAAAGAACAATCGGACAATGCACATCCTGACAGCCCATGAGCCAGCTAGTTTGGATGCCTAGTCTGCTGCGTTCTGCGAGGTGGAGGAAGCCGTCGTCGACAGAAAAAAAGTCGACAAGGCCCACAACTTCGGGCGGAGGTTAGGCTTCTGGCTGACTAATCGACTCTGAGGATCAGGAGTCATGTAACATGCACGGGTCTTTTAGGACATTAGAACATGACCCCTCGTTATACGATGGCTATGCAACCCTGAGTAGCTGAGTTCATTGCTATTGCGCGGAGGGTTATGCGATCCTCCCCGATACTACACCTTCCCGCCGATACTTCCCTTCAGCTGTCGCTAAGCCGCTAAGCCCAACGCAAAGTCCCCGACCCTAGACTACGCCATCTCCGGCTCCAAGCCGCTGTGGTTGCGGGCAATGAGTCCTCACGAGTATTTGCGAGCGCTAATGATGAGTTATGGAGACCTGACATACTCCGATCATCAGTGACGGAACCCCCTCCCGCCAAAAAACAGAATACCATGACTCAAGAACATGCGTAGGCCCAACAAATAGTAACACAACACGTTCCAATTTTGCCTCTGGTAACTCTACATTTAGTCAAGACGTTCTCGGTGACCACATCGGGCGACATGTTGAATGAAGTAGGCTCTGGCGACCGCAACGCACACATTTAGCGAAGAAGGTCCCTCATTGTGCCGACACATTTAACAAAGTAGTTGTTGCCGACCACATCGGGCGAGACAAGAGTCTTGGGTGATCACATCAGGCGACCCAATTTAGTAAGGTAGCATTTGGCGACCACAGCGGGCGACACATTCCGTAAAGCATGTTTTCGGCCAGTACGTGTCGATTTAGTTACGCAGATTTTTGCTTGCAAGCCAGTTTGTCAGATCGGGCGGCAGATTTAGTCAAACAGGTTTTGCTGACCACATGGGGCGACACGTCTACCAAAGTAGTTTCTCGCAGGTGGGTGACCCGCCACCCTAACACCTAAAGTTCGGACCTTTCCCTAGTCTTGATTCTGAGATTGGATGTGCGGCCGCAAACCTTGGTTTCTGAGACATTTCATATTAAGGATTTGTCATGACGATGGCGTCGCATGCATCTTTCATGGGCGGAAGTTCCGAGTTCCTGAGGTCGTACAAGACGTCAAAGCAGGATTTAGCCTTTTTCACGTTCGTTTTTGGCTCGAACGGGCCTTGAGCTCTGCGTTTGTGGCGAATTTGACCCAAAATCATCACGTGCTCAAGTGCAGCATGCACATTTCTTGGTTCAGAACCGTGCCCTGCTTGGAGCGACCTCAGATTCCATAACTCCCGTCCAGTAAGTCCCACAATCCAACAGTTTTTGCTTGAGAGCTTCTGAACCAGCTTTGTGCGGAAGGAGTGGAAAATCTGGATGAAAGAGGAGCATGCCAGGCACGCGGTTTGGGATTGTGCGAAGCCTGACAGGCCGACCCAAGCCTCGTCTAACAAAGCATTCCGGCTGCTGGATATCCATGTTCTGCCCACTTGTGCCCACCCGATCTTCGAGCATCACAGCCGACGATGGGGTTCGAGGAGTGTAGTTGGCATGCCTCGTCTGAGGAAGACTTTTTTAGTAACCTTTGATACTTAGGGTACGGTTGGAACAGGTAAACTTCATATCCCTATTGACCCAGCATGATTTAGAGGAAGGCCAGCGTGGTAGCTTTGGCAGACACCCCTCACCAATAAAGCCAATGTTTGCGCCGTCCGTTCATACGACTGATACGACTCCCCTGTGCCAGGCTGTCCCGCGGTCAGGAGGTCAAAGCCCCACAGTTTCCAGGGTTTGAAGGTTGCGAGGGTAGCGGATGGACGAGACGACTGCTGCTTCTTCATCGTTTCAAAGAGTAGTCGACTTGAACGGTCCTTGAAGTTCCAGCTTTGACGGGGTTGTGGCTTCTTGTTCAACCGTTTAAGGCTGTGATTCTAGAGCATCCTGCCAGGAGCCTTGTAAAGGACTTAGGCCTCAATCTAGCTCAGTCATGTAGAAGACTTTGACTTCAACTGTCGCATGGGCAGTCGCCCTCGTTCTGTAAGGCTTCCGTTCGTGAACAGTTGAAGCTGTGTCAAGGTCAGAGTGTGTTGCATTCTTTTGTTTTGAGACGCCCACGCTCAACCTGACTCCGGACGGGTGTGATTTCTCACCCTATGGTCCGCGTGGGCCACTTTCAGTTCCAAGTAGACATGATTCCAAGCAGACGTTTCTCAAGATCTTAACACCGAAACCCCAATGGAAACCTTAAAGCAAGACCTTCTGCAGGCAGAGTGGCAGGCTCCAGAGCACGAGGCCCCGCAAATGTCTGGCGTGTGGTTTTGGAGGGCTAGTGATCTAGCGTTTCAATAGCGGGTGCACAACATCGAATGCTTCAGCTGCAAGGTGATGTTCAGGGAGTTGCAGGGAGAGCACCATTGGTGTTTGTGTTATGAGGCCTTGCCCGGAGCTTCCCATTTTCGTCTCTTGTACAGAGGTGTCTCATGGATCCGAGAGAAATTTGCAGCGAACATGTCGCATAGATACAGACCTGTCACGTCAGGAGGATTGCTTCCTAATAGATGACAGCCCAGACCACATAAGAACTGCGGTGAGTGCTGCACTCGCAGGGCAGAGGTTTGCTGTGATTCTAGAGCATCCTGCCAGGAGCCTTGTAAAGGACTTAGGCCTCAATCTAGCTCAGTCATGTAGAAGACTTTGATTTCAACTGTCGCATAGGCCGTCGCCCTCATTCTGTAAGGCTTCCGTTCATCCCGGACTCGTAATTTTCTATATAATCAATAAGGCGTCTCTCCGTAAAATTCTGAAATAAATTTTGATATGAGAATATAAACCTTATCAATTCAAAATTTCTGACGATAGGATTTTTCACATAAATTATTAGGTGGCGTCTATTAATTATGGATATTTTGAATATTCTTTTTTATTTCTTTGAGAAATATTTATTCTAGATAAATAAAAATAAAAATAGTATTATGAATAGGGGCATTCAAAATATTCACAAAAAATTCTATTAATTGGATTTATGATTCTGGTTTCAATGATTCTGAAGATAAGAGATCAGGCGAGATATCGAGAAAAGAGAATATTAATTAAATTCATGAAAATATTAAAAGAAAAAGTAATTCTACAGAAAAAAAATAAAAGAATTTTTTTTTCAGATAATAAGATATATGATTTATTATTAATGAGTTGGTCTTGAAATGGAATTTGAATATTCTTATATATGATATTTTGATTAATTGAGTTATAGAAATATGATTTAATATTAAAAAGGTTTGATATTATTGATTATATATTTGAAGTAAATTCTCAATATTAAATAATGAAATTTATTGTCGTTATTTTTTTTGAACATAAATTCTTTATTTAAGATATATAAGTTATTTTTCATTATTTTGAATTTGAAATGATATATTAAAATAAAGATATAGAAAATGATATTTTCATTTTGAATTCAAAAAAATATTTCAAATCTAATCTGAAGGAAAAAAATCGTTATTTTGGACTCGAAATGGTGCTCTAATACTGAAACGAAAGATGTATTATTATTGCTTTCGTCTCGAAATATTGCTCCAATACTAAATAGATATTTTATTATCGTTGATTTGGTCTCGAAGTGCCGTTCCAATAATAAGATGAAGGATTTCTTGACGTTGTTTTGGTCTTCTAAAGAAATGGAAGATGATTTGTTCCGACTGCTTTGATTTCGAACGCTTGTCTTGGTGCTAAGATGAAAAATTTGTTGCGACTATTCGGAACTCGAAGTAATGATACTAAGATGAACGATTCATTTCGAAATGATGCCTTAATATTCAAATGAAAGATATATTATATTTATTTTGATTTCGAAATATTATCCTAATGCTAATATGGATATTTTATTATTATTGGTTTGGCTACGAAGTGATGTTTCAATAATAAGATGAACGCTTTACTATCGTTATTTTGGTCTCGAAGATTCTAATGAAATATCATTTCTTGTAGTTGCTTTGATTTGGAATGGTTGTCTTCTTACTAAGATATAGGATTCGATGCCGCTGTTCGGAATTCAAAATAATGATATTAAAATGAATGATTTCTTCTTATTCCTTGGGTCTCGAAATAATTCTAAGATTTCTTGCCATCACTTTGGTCTCGAAGTAAAGCTCTTGAGCTAATATATAGGATTTATTACCGTCATTGGTTGGTTCTAAAAGGTGTCTTATTATTGAGATGTACGTCTTATTGCTACTGATTTAGTCTCGAGATAGCTCGCCAATATTAAGATGAGGGATTTATTGATATTGCTTTGAACTTGAAGTGGTGCCCACATGCAAAAAATTATTCATTGTCGTTGCTTTGATTTCCAAAAAATGCCTCAATCTTAAAATGTATAATTTGTTGCCGCGGCTTCCATTTCGGATTGGTCCTCCAATACTGAGATATACGATTTGTTATCGTGGCTTTGCTTTCGAAGTGATGCCAAGATGCCAATCTCTATGATTTGCTGCCGTAGTTGTCGTCTCCAAGTCGTGCCGCAGCACTAAAATGAGTTATTTGTTGCAGTTGCTCTCGACATAGCTCCCCAATATTTAGATGTGCGATTGTCGTTGTTTCGATTTCGAAATGGCTTCAAGCCAGGAAATATGGTGTGATGCCGTTTTTTGGTTTCGCCGTGGTACATCAATCTCAAGCTGTAAAGTTTGCTTGCCGTTGCGAAGTGGCGAATGGTCTCGAAATGGTGAATGCTAATATGAAGGATATGTTGCGGTTGCTTTAATTTCACAGTGGTACACAAGTGCTACCATGCTGGATTTGTTGCCGTTGCTTTGGTCTTCATATGGTCACAAGTGCTAAAATGCAAGATTTGTAGCCGTGGCCTTGGTTTCGAAGTGGCTGCCCAATGCTAAAATGTCGCAATGGTACAAAAGTCTTAAGCTGTAAGGTTTGCTTGCGGTTGCTTTGGTGCCTTATCGTCCAAATAGGTTCGGCCCAAAAAATACATTCCGCTCCGCCATTTAATGAGCCCCAAACCCTTTTTCTGGTGTTTGCGGTTTCCCAAGCGGAGTAACAAGGACTTTGTTTCATGCGGGCACCCAACCGGTGAGAACAAAATGACAACTTTGTATTATGCGCTTGCGCCACCTGCACTCAGTCCACCGTCCAATAAGCTTGAAATTTTAGGAATTGCGTGGTTTGCGGGCTGGGCTGTTCCATGGATGCTTGGGGAAATGCCTGGGGTCTGAGCGGATGTTAACATCGTTGGCCCATTGGCCCGAAATGGTTGAGGTTTGAGTGGACGTTAACTTGGGCGGCCCACAAATAAATGGATGACGTCTCTGTAGACGTTTTCATGAATAGCCCATGGATCGTTGGGGAATGTATGAGGTTTGGACGTTAGCATCGATCAAGTTGAGGCTTCGAAGCTTCAAGCAAACTTTGAAAATGAAATTTGGATTTCCGGCGTCAACCTTTGGTTTGCGAAGTTTGCAACAATATCCAAGCCAAGTTTGCATTTTGCATTCTTCAGCTCAAACAATGATTAACGGAGTTTTTTTCACTCCACCATGGCCAGGTTCATGCCAGCTCCATGTGGACGGTGGTGGTGTTTTTCCGTGTACATGTCATGAAAAAAACCAATGAAGAAAAAATGAAAAATTTGGTGTGCGGGTGTCCGCAATTTTTTGTCTGCTGAAAATGATCACGTGCCTGCAATCGCAGTATGGCCAGACTTCGGGCTACCTGGCACCAAACGGACGTACCATTTTCCGTCCCAAGTCCATGCAAGGCCAAAGGATGAAATTGCAAGTCCCTTTCCCACCCGGCAGCTTTTCTGTCCCCCGACCAAGTGTCCAAGCCACCCAAGTGGAGATTGTAATGTACGATTTGCTGAAGCTGGACAAGCCCCCAACGCTCCAACCCAAATTTTCAAAACTATCCCAAAAAAAATGCAAATCCAAAATTTTCGGCCAATGGGCCAAAATATTGCCAGCTTGAGGTTTTTAGGTATTTGATTTTTGAACATGAAGTTGGATTTCGGTTGTGGATTCAACCGCAACCCTGAACCTGGGACACTGAAGCGTTTCAAGGGGACCAGCGGCTGCATGGTTTAGGACATTGTCTTTGCCACTGCCTCACGGGGGATCTCTCGAAGGCGATGGCTGGAGCTTCTGATAATTATCGCCACGGCAAACGCCATACAAGCAAAAGCACCCTGCTTGTTTATTGCTTCACAAGTACGGTTATTCCAAAGTTTGCCGCGGCTCCATTGCAGTTACCCCAACGAGGAAGATTGTCCTTAGGTTTGTACGCGTGGGTTTAGTGCATGGATTGTGAAACTTGTACACGGCACCCGCCAGCGTCGCAAGCGAGAAAAAAATTTGTCGTGTGTTCTTCCCCATGAATCAAATTGTGCACGGGAAAACCCACGACCCAGCTGCCACTGCCGCAGCAGAAAACAACAAATTTTCTTGTGTTTACCTGCATGGATTGAAAGGCGTCTCATGGACACGGTAAATGAACCCCGACCTTGCACGCTACTTCGCTGCATGGCTGTCACCAGCAACGGAGGAAGTGGGCTCAGGTGACTTCAAGCGCGGTAACAGACACCGCAAACGAATGGGCACAAGTGCCAATGCTGCTGGAAGAAACGTACCGCTTCTTTGCTTCAAGACCACAAGATGCACAAACAAACGCATTATAAATCGTACCCTTGTTTGGTGTGTGCTATGGCAAAACGCAGAACCAATGTCCATTAAAAATTTTTATGTCCTGTTTGCGCTGCAAGATACACCAAAATGCAGAAACAAATTCCCATGTCTGCCTGCTGTGTGATATCACAAGAAACAACAAAACCGATGCCGTCATCGTACCGCAAAATGCAAAGCGATACCACAAGCTGCAAAGCCGCATGTCCATAAGATATCATATTCTTTGTGTGCTGGGTTGAAAAAATATAAACCCATGCCCGCAACCAATTCGTGCATTCTGTCTGATAAATGATATCACAAAATGCAAACTGCCGCCCGTGTCGAATCGTAACCCTTTCTTCTGGCCGATAACAAAAAAAGAAGGGTTTCTTGCCCGTAACAGCTTGTGCGTTTTGTGTGCTTTTTTAATTACATCAAAATCCAGAACCCAATGCCCATAAGAAAATGCGTTCCTTTTTTTTCGTGTGATGCCACAATCAACTGAAGCCGATCGCACGTTTTTTTGCCAAAAGATGCAGAACCCAATGCCCGTAACAAGTTGTAACTTGTGCTGTCCAAAAATGCAATTGTATTGTTACCTCCGAATCCCAAGCTCAAAATCTT